AAAAGCAGTTATATAGCAAGGAATGGGGTTTAGCGTAATTTCATGTGAATAGGGTTTTGCGCCTTTTCCTCCTTGCCGCATTTTTTCCCACTTCAGTGTGTCCACCAATATTTGCCTTGGTCCTACCCCGCTAGTAGCGAGGTGGAAGAGGTATCGCGTGTTCACATATTTAGTAGCTTTATGCAGGAACGGTAGACACCTCCGTACAAACTTCCAGGTGGTTCGCAGCTAGTACTACTTCAGCTGTTAAAACCCTGTAGACCATGGGCTGGGTAGTTGCCGAAGGTGGGCGTGATTTCCAGCCCTTCATTTAGAGATCGTCGCCAATTTTCTCACTCACAGCATATGTGCTTCTTTCGCTTCGTTAAGGTCTATCTACCAGCAGTAGATATCAGGATGGATATCCTTTAGGGTGGGGTTCGCAATCCGCTGCTACCAGTGCAGCGATCCGAGACTGCCTCGGTGACCAATAAAGACATAACACTCGGGAAGAATATATATGTTTAGCACACGGTGGGGCTTGGGGTCACTGGCAAGGCCTGGAGGTCAGACCGCCTGGCGAAGGCACTGTGGCGGAGCACCCAAGCGGTCCCTTTACCAAAACTGAGGGTTAATTGAACAACCAACGTATTATAGTGTGCACATTATACATATGCTCATTAATGCAACAATGAGCCAAACTAGATATGATAAATAGCTAATTTCATATTCAAGTTGCTCTTTATTAAAATAATAATCATAATGCACCAAAATTCTGAATTAGCTTATGGTTTGACCTAAAGCATGGTAAAATGGAGAGCATGCACGGTTGGGGGATTCAGTGTGAACCACAACAAGAATTGAGTTTATACAATATAGGAAAATAGCAGGGCCGGCTCAAAGTAGTCAACTTTTGATGTGATAGATATAAACAAGGAAAAAGTTCAATCATAAAGAATTTGGAGGCTTATGTATGCGTCCACTCCATCTGAGCGACATTTGATTGCCTCGATGACACGCTCTTCCATCCCCTGAATGGGAAGTGGGATGATAATTTCTGACACTTTCATGGATCTTCATTTCATTACTATACTGCGCAGATGCAGGACGCGAACGATGAAAACAACGTCTCCGTTTCCGGTGATTGATCACCTTCCCCATATGCACAATTTTTAAACTGCATCAAAGCCCTCAAGAGGCATGGCGTTTGGAGATCCCTCAATGTTTGGTTTCAGTTTATCAACAAACTTTCTCAATGAGGTCAAAGGAATATGTTGGTGGCCTTGGTTAAGCCAAATCAGAATGGGTTAAACATTTAAATGCCCATCGTCCTCGCTATTTAGGAAGTTGAAAAGACTTGAGAAAGCGCGTTCATCGCCGTTAGGAGTATTGAGTGTCCGATAAGAGGTGTTCTTATGCGTTTTTAAGAGAGATGCAAATCAAAGTTGAGAGGTGTCCCATTTGTCAGAAAACCCATAGCTCAGGGGATATCCTCCGTTCAAAGCCATCATCATTCTCACTGATTTCTTCTCTCCTGTATCGCAGTCTAAGTTACCCATAAACTACAATTATTTCTCACATTTTTTGTGTTTATTTCTAGGTAGACACCATTTCTGCCCAACTTTGAGTACAAAATTTGCTGTAGTACACAATGTTCCAAAATATTTCACTAATTTGTCACTCACTATAAGCTTTTCTAAATCGTTGTTTAAACATAACTTCTCCAGATCACCAAAAATAGTGAAACAACTAGATGTGCCTGACTGACCCCTTATTTGCTTTCACTGGACCGGCATACAACGATTTATATTATTTTTCGTTGTTTCCAATTATATTTTGGATTTGATTTTAAGATGCCCCCAGGCCGTGAAATGGGAGTGCTTTCCGACATCTTCCTGCCATGCACCAACGAAACAACCAACAATGTTCCATAGTACATACGGCGTAAGAAGAACTTTTAACATCGCACGCAAACATTTACGACTGTCTTATATCAGGCAGAAAATATATTACGACTGACAGAGCCGGACAAACATCTACCGAGAAGGAGATATAGTGCAACTTTACAGGGCGATTCCCCCACCTCGGATACACCGCAAGTTTCATCACCCATGGAGCAAGGCCCCATTCCGAGTGGTGAAAGTGCTCTCACCTACAAACTACCTTTTTCGCAATGCACAACTGCGTGCCCAGCCAGTAACCGTTCGCCACAACAAGATGCGACCCTACAAAGAGGCACCACCGGTTGGATATGAAATTGAGGTTTACGCTCTTACGGAAGACAGGAAACCACCGGGTGGCAACTTTGAAAAGGAGCTCATAAGTGGTAGCACCAAGGATGGTGCTGAAAGGACGAAGGGACTGTGTAATACTTATGTTGTTTTAATGTTCCTTTCAGAGAGGAGGCGGACAGACGCATCGAACCTCGTCACTGAGGAGCTGTTAGCATCTCAGAACCCGGGGAAAGTTCCGTGTTCAAACCCTCTAACCCTGTATTCATTTCCCATTTACTTTAAGCAATAAACATGACAAAACTAAATCAGTCTGGGTGTTCTCGGTGTAAGAAGGCCAGGGAAAAGGAGATCAACAGGACTAGTCTTGCATGAAGACTACTTAATATTTATCAATAAGAGTTCACGTCTTTTAAAAGTGCCAATGACGTAGGATAACCCAATTTCACATATTTAGAAATTCGCAGTGGAAGTCATTTTAAGAACCGCTTCTTGTTGCCAAACTAATAGCAAAGATAATCATGTAAAAGCACGAAAATATGGAGCAGCTGGTTGGCATGGCCACCTTTTTTATGCTCCCTTCAAGTATTCAATCGTTTGCCTCCCCACCTCGAGTTGAACATGGAAGTAGATGCCAGTTTTAAAGGATAAATGAGGTTCCCCATGGCATTTAGCGTACTCTCTTTATATGGCCTAAAGGAGAGGCTGATGGAGCGACACAGAAGCTTCACATCCACCTTCACAACGACTAAGAAAAATTGAAAAATGATGCCCCAATTTCTGTAGTGGATCATGCATTATGGTGCTTAATTAATTCAATATTTGCTGTATATCTTCGGTTTGAGTAAAGCACTTTTGCCAATTCGTTCTTCGAACAGATTCAGAATTGGTAATAAATCCGGACTAGACCGAGAGGAGCAGTTTCACTATTAGAATCTGTCGCATCTTGCGTCAACGAGTGATGTATAAAGCAAATGCATTCTCTGATGAGTGAACCACAAATCCATCGAACAACCCATACATCCGCGGTGCAAATCAACGCCACGCGACCCGCCTGCAGACGGAGTGGAGCAGTGTGTCACATTGCGTCGCCTCAGACAGTCTAGCACTCCATCTAAATCTGAGGCAGAGACAGATATTAAATAATGATAGGGTTAGAAAAGCATCTTTTCAATTCCATGACATGACATCCACAATCTCGCATCAATCCAGTTTAAAGAGAAACGTTTCATTCCTTTTAATAGACCGACTTCAGCAGTCTTGAAGAAGTCTTTGCATCCAACGCAGTATTCCCATCCTACGCTTTAGTGGGCTTTGCTACATGTATATTTGTTGAGTACAAGAAGCCACATTGATCCTGCCATTGTAATCCCTAGATTGCCCACAATGCTTTTTAATAAAGATGAAAAATTGGTTCATCACGTTCACAGAAGTACACTTCGGTTTGCATTCAAAATTAGTGGTAAGTAAGTTCACGGACCACAATATGTGTTTCTGAACATTCTTTAAATGTCAACGTAAAATAAACTGCAAAAGCCCAAGGATTTTCTTACTTGACTTAAATATCAACACCCATGCAAATGATGCATGAAAAGCTTATCAATTTCTGAGGAACTTGGAGCAAAAATTTCTGTGCTAATTTCGTAGAAATAAAACAGTTTCAACAACAATTTTGAGAGGTATGCAGAACAACATACAGTGCCTTACATTTTGTGTCAGAGTAGGGCATTCTACTGGGACATTTGTGAGCGAGTGATGCAAGGACACGACCAAGAAGTTGCAGAACATCTTAACTTACTTATTTTATTCAAACTGCAGTGCTGTTCTGTTCCTGAGTAGGTAGAATACCGCCAGCTAGGGGATGGTCGTGAATTGCCATTGCAGTTTGAGGGTCCATGCTACCTACATGTGCTACAAGGTTGCAGAATCGAGGTTTAGCACCTACTGCCATTCCGTACTCGCGTTCACCAGCCACACTTCCGCCAAATACTTCCTCGCCGACAGCTCCACCAGTCTTTAGCTTGGCGGTTCCACAACGCGATTCAGACAAAGTGGCTTCCTTATTTCCCCACCACTTCCACATTAATCGCTCCAAAGAAAGAAGGCCATATGTGTCTTGAACTAATATGTGCTATCGAGATAAGCACACGCCATTCCCACGACAAAGAAGGGAGAGTAAAGTGAAGAACAAGCAGTTGTTGACTTGAGGTGGATGATTACACTACATGTGACCAAATTAATCTAACTAGTACATCTGTTCTGAGCCATTCACTTGAAGAAGACGTCAGTGGAAGACCCGTCAAAATAAGAGTGTTGACTCAAATGGAGACTTTAATGATGAAGTTAAAAAAA